ACGGGGATCTTTGCCCGCTTTTTGGGGTTGATAATGAGCGGATCGGAGTGTAATAATTATGGTGCTCAAGGAGGTCCCACAATCGCAGGGCGCTTGCATTGGCTTAAGTCACTTTTGGGGACTAAATTGGGGTTGTAAGTTAAGCAAAGCAGGAAGAAATTCGAAAATTAAATATGATATGATGGGGGTAATTTTGGATCCAACATGCAAGGCGTCAAATATTGTTTTGAGGAAAAAGTTTGAAAAATAAATGGTTGTTATACATATATGTTAATTAAAATTCCCTTAACAGTTTTGAAACTGTGGCAAAACGAATGTTTATTTTACTTTTTGAACTACTTGATGAAGCAAGTAAAATTCTGTATGCAAGTGGGGCTCATAAACATTACTATTCTCACTTCCAATATGCCAACCCATAAATAAGGGACAATAAATTGAAATATCGACAGTTCTGTCGTCCGACCAGGGTTGCCACACTATCGCGGGGATCCAGCCATTGCCCAGAACCTCTGTCAACTCGCAGTTCAGATCCCGAGTGGCCATCGTCACCATCGTAAATCTCAACTAACTGTCAACCAAGCGAGTTCTATGGCACAATTCAATGAGTGCCTCTTCATAAATCTAGACAACCCATATCACTCTTGCCCAACTTTCGTGGCACTTTTTCGAGACTTATCAGAACAAGCCGCCTTGTGACCCCTTAATTGTCTTTAATTTAGTGTACAACTGAAATTACAAAATCACCTGAAAACTAAATTGTACTGCACACAAAAGCGAATCAGATTACCTTAGTTTCAGAAGAGAGCCCAAAGAGGAGATAAGCGAGAGGTCCCACAAATTGAATCTAATCGTGCGACTATCTAGGTGTAATTACAATTAACGTGGAGGGGGGAAAAATCGGGGAAAAGCATTCGGACGAAGATAATGAAATAATTTTTTGTGCGTGGCAGGTTCAATGCGAATGTGTGTGTGTGTCGGTGGGCGTTTTTCTGTGTGCGTGTGTAAGTGAGGGCCAGTTGGAGGGGGTGGTGTGTGTGATGGGTGGTAACGCTTAATGTTGGTTAGCCCCAAAAACAGTTTCCACTTTCGGGTAGGTAATCAATCATTGTCAATGCCCTGTCAATGCTGCGGCCTGCGAGCCGCAGGGGTTGGATGGATGGATAGGTGGATCGGTGGAGCGACGGATAGATGAGATGCCCAGGGGAAACTTGCATTACTATAAGTGCACTGGAATAAAATAGCGAAGAGTCTAGGATATACCTTTTAAAGTATTGGAATAAACCGTAAAAGTCTGCAAACAGCAAAAAGTATGTTTTGGATTCGCCTATTATAATTAATTGAAAGCCAACACCATTGATTTAAACGATAGTAAAATACATCATTTTATATAATTTCCGAGAAAATTTGAGTAGTGTTTCAGAACAATTTATGCGCAGTGCCCTGAAGTAAAATTAAGGGTGTTTGATTAGCAGAAAGTGTGTGAGCCTTGACAGTCTCAAATATTTGACTATTTCTTGGCAGACAAAGGGGAATGTTGCCGCCGCCGCGTATAAAAATCCCTTAAAATTAACACCAGAAATAGGTCACCGATGCATGAAAACTAATAAAAATCAAAGCCAAATCAAATTAAATAAACAGCTAAACAACAAACAATACAAGCCAAACCAGAGCTGAAAAAACAGGAAAATAGAATGCGAATGGCAACAATAAAGCAGGGCAATTACAGCAACAACAAACAGACGATAAAAGCGGAGAAAGGACCTCGAGATGAGTAGAAAATTTAAGGCAGCCGAGGGCCTAAGATAAATTTTCCAAGGCAGACACAATGAAAATTACGGCAACACGAGGAAAAGTCAAAGGCTCGGGCTGAAAAGGAAAGCCGAAGGAATGGAAAAAAGTAGCGGAAGGAAATGCCATTATGACGTAAATGTGCTAAAATAAAACAACATGGCGGACAGGACAACCCGAGCAACAACAACAGCCACAACAACAGCGAAGCGTGTCGAAAGCTATACGAGTATGTGTGTGTGAGCGTGTGTGCGGGTGATTGTGTGTGAGTGTGCGTATTTTGTGGGGCTAATGTCAAAGTCAATCTTAGGAAAAACGCGTAGCGCATAAACATACAACAAAAGTGGAGAGTACAACGGCAAAAGGCAGTAGCAGTTAACCAAAAAAATAAAGGCAAGAAGGAAAGCAGCAGAAGGAAAGCAGCAAAAGCAACCCCCAATTTTGAACGCGGGGGGCTTTCGCCGGAAAAACCCAACGCAAGCCGGAACCCCTCAAACGACAACTCGATTTTTCTTCTGGCACAAGAAAAATTGCCGAAATTAAAGCAAAAAGAAAAACAATTTTCTCTTCTTTCGCCTCTCTTTTCGCCCCATTGTAAGGGTTAGAAAATCTTTGGAGACCAAACTTCCGCACAAGAAAAATTGTTTAAAATGCGAAATGAAGATGAAAATGTTAAACACGTTTTGGAATTGTTTTTCCTCTGTTCTTTATTTTTGGCTCGTGTCAGTTTGTGTGATTTGTCTAGGTGCAAAGGTGAAGAGAATAGGAAATATGGCAACAGGAGAGAGAAAAACTAACAAACAAAAGTTGAGGAAAAAGTTGAAATGTTCTTTGGCGGAAAAGTTGCAAAGGCTGCAGGTGGGGCTAAGGTGAGAATTTTAATCAGAAAGTGCTGGGGATTTTTGGCGTTCTACGAACAGTTAAATATAAAATGACTCGTTTTTTTAGGCTCCTTTAGCTAAAGTTTCATGAATTTTAACTAATGTTCATGTACTTATTCAAATTAACTTAGATGGTTTTAAGTCATTTATTTCAGAAGTATTGTCAGTTTTCCTAATAAGTTTCTTAGAAGCAAGGTTGCAATTTGGACACCAGAAATACCCTAATAAACATTTCATTTCTAACATGTCTGCAACACTATTCCAATAATTCGACTTAAATAGACCAGGTTTTCAGAACATATTTAGTATAGTGCCGAATGAAAGTCTCTGTCCTGAGCTCAATTCAAAATAACAACAAAGCGGCTTACCCCTTTTGCCAAGGTTATGGCAAATAACAACAACGCAGCACTAGAGCAAAGTCTGCAGCGTCTACGCTCGCTTTGTCTGATTTTCCCCACTTTTCCCCCGGCTTACCTCATTTTCCAGAGACTCTCTTCGCTCTCTGGACGCGCTCTCAGTGCCGTCGCGCTCTTCCCGCAGGATTTTCCCTTTTTTTATATACACGTATATTCTGCAGTCGACACTTTGGGGGTGGTTAGATAAAATGTGGAAATTGTTGAAAATGCCGCCCGCCTCTCGGGCAGCCGATGGTGCTGCATCGTTATGTGGGAAAACCCGGGTCGACGGACTTGGATGCCTGGCCGTTTGGGGGTGGTTGGTGGGTGGAATGGAATGGAAGGTGCGACTGCGACAGACGAAGGACGTCAGGGACAGACGACGGCGGCAACTGTTTTCACTCCATGTCCTTGCCTCCGTCTTCTGCTCCTCCGCCTGCTGCTGCTCCTGCTTCTTCTGCTGGCAGGCAGTTTTTAAGAATTTTCTTCCTCATTTTTCGCTTACACGGGAACATACGGTTTCAGAAGCCTAAAATATCTACATTTTCTTAAAATGGAGCCACTTCTACCAGTCAGTCATAGTCATTAAATTAGTTTGGCTTGTCTTAGAGACATCAATCCACTAAATAATTGAAATATATATAAATGTAACCAAGAGATGTTTACTGCAATCAATTTAGCAATCACGATCAGCATTTTTATAATTTATTGAGTTAGAGGTTTTAAAATTTTAATAAAATGGCAATTTTGTCAATTACTCAAAGATAGAGCTTTGACAAGGCATTTTGATGTACATATCTACCACTCTTATTCGCTTAAGATATAATTTTTTTCTTCAGTACACTTGCTAGCCGTTCTCCCCGATTTCCTTTTTTTTGGGGAAAACTTGGAAAAAATAACAACAATTTTGCCACTCATAAAAAAGGCAAGAGGCGAAGATGACGGTGGTGCGGGGAAGGCCCTGATCGGGGAGGGGGTGAGGCGGAAAAGAGGAAGTAGGAAATTTGAACTTGGGCTTGTGATGTATGTCCGATGTCTGTGGAGACCCAAAAACTGCCAATGCGGCCGACCACTGCGGCAGAGTTTTCCCTGGTCGAAATGAAAATGGCAGACGAGGACGTTAAGCGATGGATGGGCAGTTGCCACCGGGTGGGTTGACCTCTCACCCCTCCCCATTCGCCCCTCGACCATCCAGCAAGCTGGTGAAAGTTGCCCTTGAATGGTGTTTTCTGGATTATGCCCTGTTCCGCCTGCTCCCCCGACTTCCCAGTCCCCGTCGTCTAGGCTTTTCCCTCGCGCTCTCTCTGTGCGAGTCCATTTTCCTGCCTTTTCCTGCATTTCCAATTGAGTTTTGGGTCCGGTGTTTGAGAGCAAATTGAAGTCGATAAACAGAAGTCCAGGAAAAGCTATAGGCAATCAACATATGAAAATAACAACACCAAGCTGTGAAGCAGACTTGTGCTCGAAACACTTGATGGAGAAAGTCCAGTCTTGTGTGGGTGCAAAAACATTATCGTTCATAAGATTTGCAATCTTTCAGGTCCTTCGGATGTACATACATTTCTCGAGGGCTTTTGCGAATATGAATGTTATTCTATACAGTAGAAAGTAATCACAATGCAATAATATTTGTAGTATTATTAGGGCTTATCGCTTTGCAATCTAATTTATTCACTATTCCCTTTTACTAATATAAAAGGTATATTTTATACCTTAAAAGAAACATTTCATTGTTTAATTGGGTTTTAAAACTCACCTCCAAAAATAGTTCCTTTGATGTTCTGTTGGACAATGTAATTGGTATATTTGGTTTTTAGTGGCCTGTAAAATTGCAATTTCACTTGGGTTTATGTATTTCTATATTTATCGGTTTCGGATCGTATACGTTTGCATTAGCACGGCGCGGAACGGAATGGTTGCATTTTCGTAATTTTTATTGGCTTTTGCTACATCAGATTGCTGATTATTTTGGCTGCAGGGATCCGCTTGATTTGACGAACCTAGAAAAGACATTGCCAATTAATTGTTGATCACGTGCAAGTGGCGAAAACAGCTATTAAATAGAAAACAAAGGACTTGCAGAGGGCACCCAAAACGCAGACGTGTTGTTTGCAACACAGCCGACAGGTGTGAGGGAAAAGGTGTAACCCAGGCAACAACAACTAAATCAAATCGCAGGAAAATGCCTGCATTTTCCCACTCTTCCCCTTCTGCCACCCATCCATCGCTTGGCTGGATCTCAATGGGCTCTGGGGCAAATATTTTAAATGCGCAGATTTTTGGCATGTTTTAGTGGCAGTTCACGTTTTGAATTGTTGCCATGCCCCACGGAAACGGTCCAACGCTCGTTTCACTGACAATTTAATACAAAAAATGCCAAACATTTTCACAAAATAAAAGGACCAGCACAAAAAGCCAACGTGGAAAAGTTTGGCAGTCGTAAAGCGTGTGTTAACCCTTTAAAATGCCCAAAAATATATGTGTTTGAACGTGTAAGCTGGGACATGATAAAAAAAGTAGCTTGGAGCGGAATTGTAGGTTCCTTTTTTATGAATGTGCTTTGCGAAGATTTAAATGAGATACCAGTGGGTGCACGGAATAGTGCAAATGCCATTTGCATTAATGAAATAGAAATATTTAATATTTTCAATCAGAAGGAAGCAAAGGGAAACTACTATGGTAAGATGTAGTTAGGAAAAGTAATCATTGAAGGTTCTATAAAAAGAATTTTTACTATAAAAAAGGAGACATAAATGAATTAAAATTTAACAGATTATTTTATATTACTTATTCAGAATTAAGTTAAAGTTCCAAACCCACACGCAAATATGAATAATATTCTTTGTTTGGCAGTATGTAAACATTTCTGCACTTACTGCTCCGGCATTCCCTTAGCGTTTTGCATAATTTAACACACGGGTTAGGCTGTGACCGCCTGGAAGAGCCACCCCCGGATTTCCCACCCGCTGAGTCTGGAGGTCGGCCCCGCCCCCTTTGCCTGCTAATACCATGCCGCCCCTTTCGACCAGAAGCGATGCGTGTGCTTGCTGCTCCCATTCAAATGCCAGACTAACTCAATTAGAGAGCGCAGACAGAAGTTGAAGTTGAGTGTTACTTTGACTGCTGGCCAACATGCGAGTGCAAGAAAAATATATAAATATTTCGAAACAGTTCAAATTGCTTCTATTTAAAATGTATGGATTTAAGAATATAGTCGTAAAGGCGAAAAAAAAACTTGAAGAGGGGTCTCAATAAACAGACAGCCGGATAAAAGAGTAGGAAACTCGCCAAAAGTATCTAGATACTTTTTGCAGCTAGCTATGAGATACTCTCACAAAAACAGCAGCGAAAGCAACAGCGCTGTCTGGCTTGTAAAGTTGACTCGTAAATGTGCACAGAGGAAAATATACCAATCTTTAATCAAAATGTTCAAAATACAATAACAAAGATAACCCTTTTTAACTATCTCATTGCTTATTTACTTTATTCAACAAATGCAAAATATTTGTCGTTAATTATCTTCATGGGAATTTCTTGGCATTACTGACTATCATTGTTTTTTAATGAGCTTGAACGAACTTTAATTTGAAAATGAAAACACCATTTCCTCCCTGTGGAAAGTGACAATTACTCAGACCCTTACGTTTTTACAAGATTAATATAATAGGAAAGAAGAAATATTTACTCGAACTTATGTACATTTATAAAAGAATTTACCATTCCAAGGAACTTAACATAATTTATATAAAAATCAATAAGTCAAAACCAAAAAACGGTCTTAATCGTTGTTGTAAATAAATATTTTTGTAAAATTACGTATGTTATACCTAAAAAAAATAGGGTATTTAGCCAACATTAGTTTTGTGCGTCTAACATTTAATTTTGTAAAAAGTTTATATTTTAAACAACGAAAACTTAAACTTGATGTATATTCAAAATTTTAACTTATAAGGAGCTGAGTTTTCCTCCCTGTGTGCGAAAAACACAACAGAAAACAAAAATAAAATGCAAACAACGGAAAAGCGAAAAAAAAGAACTTGGCGTCGTCTGAGTTTTAGCTCTCTGTGCTCTTTTTCCTTTTGCAATTGTGTGAGTGTGTGGCTGTTGTTGTTTTCCCATTTTCCCGTAGAAAATGTGAATGATTTTCCTTCACTTTCATCAACAGCTGCGCTCACACAAATGCAAGAAGTACTCTTTTCATTTTTCGATTGTTTTTTGTTTTATTTTAGATACACAAATGAGTTAGCTTCGTATCTTTACCGTTTGGCTGTATTTTTGTTGTGCTGATTTTATATTTGTTGTGCTTTTGTATAAGTTTTTTAATAGTATATTATTGTTCGCTTGTATATTGTATTTGTTTATTGATTTCTCTGATTTATGTTCTTCGCCGGCTTGCTATTTTGCAAATGCCGCCGAAATTGCAATCAATTGCAGTTTTATATCCCAGCTCACACAGAACTCACGCACACTCACACAAACACACACGAATGCGCGACGGCGACTGCGACGCCAACTGCGACTGCGGCGTCGACCGCGCTGCTCCCGCCGAATGTCCGTTAATTAAACGCGCGATTTTTTGTTTGTTTCGGTTTCTACTTATTATCTTTTCATGTGCTTCGCTCTTTTGTTTTTATTCCGCTTTGTTATTGTTATTAACTATGGTTATCTGCCCTCGGCGCTGCCAGCGTCGACTGCGCTGCTTGTCGGAGCTGCTTTTTGGCTTTTTATATTTCCCGTCTGCGGTGTAAGCTTCTACGATTTTCACTATTTTCCTTCTGCCGCGCTGTGTAGGTTTTCCGGTGATTTCCACTTGCTAACTGACTTTCTTCCGACTTTTCCAAACGGCCGGCCGTTTTGTTTTGCAAAATTCGCAGAGAGGGCGAGAGAGATTGAGAAATGCGGGGGTGGAATACAAGAAAAGAGAGAGATGGAATTACGTATGCGCCGGTCCAAAAAGCTCGCGAAACGAGTTGGCAAACGGAACAGCTACGTGAAACGTAAGCTCTGCCCGGAATCACGTAACGTACGGTCGGCACAAAACGTTACTTTTGAAATAGGTGATAATATAAATAATTCTTAAATATAAAATAGATAAAGATATATAGTGTTGCTATTAAATGTATGCAATGCAAATTGCTTGCTATTTTAATACAAAACTAGGTAAAAGTCTACTTGCATTAGCCAATTAAAAAGATAGAATGCTATAGACGAGTTCCCCGACTATCAGATACTCGTTACTCAGTTAGTGCAAAGACTTCTGCTTGTTAGATGCAAGCCGAGTCGGACAGCCGTCCGTCCGATAAATGTTAAGATCAATAAAAACAAAATTACTTTAATATACTTTAGATGATATGCTTAATGTGTAACCATTTTGCGCATCTCCAACTTGAAAAATCCCAATAAATTAACAATATTGATGAACTATCAACAAAAATAAGCGATTACAAATTAGATAATACAATAATTGAGCACATTAAAACATCATTTATTTAGCAATATACACAGATAAATGCTTAAAAAAGGCAATAGCCTTTAGTCTTCAATTAGTCTCCCGCTAGAATGAACGTCGAAAAGCTTTTAACTTTGGTTGACCTGCTTCTGGGGACTGTAATCTTATGCAGTGTTAGTGCAGAGGTCAGTGGTAAGAAACATATAAGTGCTCCTACTTTAACTTATCTACACGTATAGAAAGAAGTTTTTATGAAGAAAATGGAATGCCTTAATTATATGCCAGAATTAGTGAGGAACGTAAGCTGCAATTTAACTCATACTTCCCACCGCAGTGGGTTAATAAATGCAGAGTTCATATTGAACAAAGATGTTGAGTACCTGAAGGGCATTTTCATTTTGACACTGAAAGCAGGCTCCCACGGGACAAACTTTACTACTTTAGACCTAGACTATTGTCAGATGCTGTCAAGTGTTGAAAAAAATTTTATTCTTAAAATGGTTACAACTCAACTTCGTCAAATCTCCAATTTGCCGCTGCAATGTCCGTTGAAAATGGTAAGTATCCTGGTAAAAATTGTATACAACTTATTAATACCGTTTTTAAAAATTGTGTTTTAGAATACACTTTATTATGTAAAGGGATTTACAATTAATTCAAAATTTATACCCAGTTATATGCCGGAATCAAATTTCCTTTCGGATACTCATTTAAACATTAAGGATCGCAAAGCATTTCGGTTCCTTATTGAGGGTCGCTTGTCTACCAGATTCCAGCGAAAATATAATAAACCTAATAGAAATCTATAAAAAACTATACGTCCAATTGGAAAATATAATGAGTCTTCGGAAGTCTTGCAATTTTTATAGAAAATTAAAACTAAGAATAAGTTATTTACTAAAAATAGATTATCCTAACTCAGACTCAAAATTTCTTCAAATCATCGACTACGGTTAATAAAACATTTTTTACCCAAATTAAAATAAGCAAAGCTTTTTTTCGCAAGTCGAAGCTTATATGCCCTTGCAGTAAGTAGAAATTGAAAACAATTGGTGTAAAACCATAATAATAACATTTTATGATAAAAAACGACCAAACTATGATTTCTTTTCCATTAATTAGCTAGTCATATGGCGACTCTACCTATAGCAACTATATAGTATCCCTATTTGGATAAAATGAAATAAAGGAATTTTATATTACTTAAAATTAGTGAATATCGAATTAGAACACATTTTAATCAAAAGCAACGAATTGAACAACGACAACCTTTACCTGAAACCCAAACCAAGAAGCGAGTTGTTAGATTAGTTTTATTGTTCTACAGTAATATTTAAATCAGGAAAACAATCTTATTCGTTCCTTATGTCATATTTTGTAATATTTATGTTTATAAATTAAATAATGTAAAAAATGGGTAATCCCAAGCTTAACGGAAATATCAAAAATTACGATAGCCTGATATTCCGCATAATAATCGATTGTGCTTGAAATCGAAATATGTCTGTGGAACATGAGCCTGCCATCAGGATAATGGATATGAAACAGCCAGCGCGCATGATCCTCTCACACAAAATGCGGCTCTCTCAAGTACACAAAAACAAAAGCCTGGCTAACAGCCCAAAGGGGGTAAGTTCTCGAGAGGGGAGGGGGCTAGGAGCTGTATGGATGTATTGGTAGTGGCAGCAGCAGGGCCAAGAACTGCCGGCCGGTGTCTCCACCAAATGAATGCGGTTAGGCCAAAAGCCCAAGTGGCCAAATGGAGGAGTTACCTGATGGGTCGAATTATTGCTATATCTGTTTCTATTGTATTGTGTGTTGTTGCAGTTGCATTGACAAATGTTGGGCTGCATTTCGGGCTTAGCCCCTCGCAAGGGTTTGTACATAACATTCAGGAATGGGGCCTAGATATAAAGTGCGGTGCTTCATTGGCAGGGTTGATAGAAAATGAATTCAATTAAAGATGGGCCGATAAAGGTCAAAGCAAAGAAGTTTGAAAAATTAAGGCTCGTAGCTCAAATAAATAGCTATTAGGCAAATAAACAGTGATAAAAGACCAATATATTAGTTAAAGGAGTCATGGGTGTAAGAATAAAGCAAAATTAAATGCTATGAAAGACAAGAAATGTTTAACATATTTAAGGCAGGAAAAACTAATAAAGGAAATTACATAAAAATTAAAATACAAGCCAAATATACAAATATTTTAAACCCATTAAAACTATGTTTAAAAATGCATTTTACTGTTAGCAAGCTAGAAACAATGCTATTACTTAGTAAATAATTATAAAAAGTACTTTGCCTACCCATTTTTATTTTCTCACAGCATAAGTACAACTAAATCTGTAACTCATACCCTCAAAATTATTTACGCTGCGCAGACCTAGCTGCCACTTTCCCCGCCCACGCAATTGATCAATCGGCACCGACACAATATTTTCATAACAATTAATTCCATTGATACACACTTGGTGGTTTGTTTTCGGACACCTGCAGTGCATTGAAATTCGAAATGTGTTTTCGTTGCAATTAGAAATTTTATTATGGCTGCTGGGAGGTGGATTTTCGGGAAAACTGAATGTCTAAGAGGTCTCCGCGGAGCCCGGGCCCCAAGAACGCTGTTTTTCCAAGCGATACTTTATGGCCAAAACAAGAGATGGTCGAGACCAGTTGTTTACCTGCGAGCCCAAAAAACACCGTCCAGAAATTATGGCACGCGTGCTGGGCAATTAGTTTGAGAGCTATGGATCGTGCTGGGGTACGAGTTCCTATATCTGTCTGATTCGCAACGGGGGCGGCACTCAATTCGCCAATTTTATGAGGCGCTCGACAGCGAATTGAAAACAGCCCACAAGACATCTCATGTTCGTTCTTTTTCGGGTCGGAGGGTAAACAATCGCATCTGGGCTGTGAATCAGCGTTAACTGAGTTAACCATCATGCTGGTGGAAGTGCACTCTTGGTCGCAAGCTGTCGTCTGCCACTTGGAAGCAATTCACTCGGGGAACACTCGCAATTTTCACTCATTTGTTAATCGTAATGATTTGTGCAAATGCCGCTAAATGCCATTTGACATTTGTCAAATAGAAGTGACCCCAATGGCAAAGTGGGCGTAATACCACATCTCCCGCTTTGTAGGCATTTTTTTTCCGCTTTAGTAGGCACTCGGAAAAAATTGTACCTACTAACACATGATGTGTACAACTCATGACACGTGAGCTCTTGAAATAATCTCTCTTCTTTCATTGGAAACTTAAATAACATTTAGCCGTAAAGATGCTTTGGAAAATGCCCAAAAATAAGCAAATATATCGTGTATATAATAGTTTAATTCGAAAAGTGCATTTCTCCAAGTGCGAAAAGGAAATGCTTGATTGTCGCAGGAACCAAATTGAAACTGATGATCCACACTCACTCAGTCATTCAGTCAGTCACTCAGCCATTTCCTCCTCCTCTCAATCTCGCAGCTGCCAAGTGAGCCATCAGTCGCTCCACTCAGGTCCGTGTTTTAATCAAAATCTATGATGTGTTATTTAATTAAAATTATAAATATTGCAAACAATAAATGCGACTCTGTGTGCACGAGTGTTTGGCTGGGTTATCTGTCAACTGGCAGTTGAATGAGTGTTTACTTTTGGGCTTTCAATGTCGCTCTCACAAATGAACGCAATTTTTTCACATCAAGTGAAAATGAATTTGTAAATGCAATTAAATGAGTTTTGCTGACATGTACGAAGCAAATAGCTGGAATTATTGAATTCTTAATAATAATGTAATCACATTTGTGTTCTTTGGGGTAAGGCACAATAAAACATAATAATAAGCCAGCAGGATAATTCAAGGATTAATTCATTTTGCCATGATATCAAATAAAAAGTGTAAACAGTTATTCTGTGGGGTTATTTACTCGTATCTATTTAACAAATTATTAGCATTTTCCGAAAATTTGTCAGCTTTTTATAACGCCAGCGATAGAGCTCCTGGATAAACCATAATTTACGACCTTAGACCGGCTGCATATACAGTGCATACGAAAAGTCGTTGAACCGAATTCCACGCAGCACTGGGCTGGCCAAAAACCCTTAACTTTTTTGTTATTTGCTTTGCAATTTCCACTGATTAATTAATAACAATAAAACTGGATTGGAGCGGTGAGCGGAAAACGAAAATAAAAATGGAAAAGCGTTAATGATTAAACACAGTGGCCATCCGACAAAAGCGACACAGCAACAACAGCGCCCATTTGTTTGTTGCTTTTGATTTATAGTGGGAAACGCAGAAAGGCGTAGCACACTTTCGGGGCGTTTTTCCGGGCGCTGCGGAAAATGCTGCAGCTGGAGGAAAAGCTATAAATCAGCGAATGGCAAAAGTGGGCGACAACGCGCTTTGTTGCACCCACCATGGATGCAGTTTTCCGCTGCCGCTCCTCCGGTTGTTTTTTAACACTTTTCTCCGGCATGTGCAAAAATTCAATGAAGCGGCCAGCAGCGACAAAACGGCGAAGCGCCAGCGGCAAAAACCTGACAGCAGGCGCACGAGAAATTTGCATCACACAAGCAGCAAATACGCAAACACATAGAGCACCAGGAAACATACGGCTCGAAAAGAGATTTACACTGGGAAAAGAGGGCATACGGTTCTACAAATATCAATAGTTGGGGATGAAACATAAGATACGTAGTCTGATTCTCTGTTTAAGACCTAATGTCACGAAGGAAAAGATTAATAAAGTTTTTTCTAAACAGAATTTGTCCATGATTAGGGTGATTTTCTTGTTAGGCAAAATTTTAATTAGTAATCATACTTCCAATAATCAAACTGCCTAAAATGTTGTGAAATATTTTAGCCTCTAAAACAAATTGAAGACTGTAACATTTTTTTAGTAAATATCAACTTTATCCTCCCAGCAAGGAACGTTTAACCCGAAAAGAGTCGAAATAAACGCAAACTTTTTTCAGTGCACACAAGAGCGCTGGTTGAGAGACACACAAAATGTTAATGCAAATAAATTGCCTGCTGACTTTATTTAAATTTCCCATAAGACACACATGAACGAGGACTAACGCAGGAGAGCGCAGGAGGGTGATAAATGGTAGGGGACCTGAGGTCCTGGAAGCGCTGAAGGAGCCTCCTAAGCAAAGTGCTAGGCCGGAGCTACCATCCGCTACCCAACAGACATGTGTTGCCTGCGGCAGCTTTTTGTAATTTTAATTTTGATTTTAATTTGTGTTGAAATATTTACATAATCACTGACTGACAACACTGCGCCGGGCGGAACCGAACCCGGTCCTTGAGCGATGGAGGCCGAGTTTGGCGTGGAACATCTGGTTGGGCGCAGCAGATTTGTGTATCAAACTTTAATGAAAATTTATAAGGTCTGCATGAATGATTAAGCAGGCATGTGGAAAGTGCGGAAAGTGTTTGCGTTTTGCCCCACTTGTCTTCTAAGTTGGCCTAGCATATTCTTCATAATATATTTTGAACTTCTTCAGCTTTGAGGGAGCAATAAAGCATTTTATTGCCGTAGCCGCAGGCGTCCATTTAAATAGGCTGTCAAACTGTTGCCTATCCTAATGCGTTGCACTTATAGAAATAAAGAAGTTGAACAAGGATCTTAAAGTCTGAAAAGAATTAAAGCACATTACTTTAACTTTAACTGGCAATATTACCTTTTATTGTCTTATTTTAAAGAATTTACAATTTATTGCTCACTGTGCAGTAACCTTATAACTTTTGGGCTGATCCATGAAATATTTTCTCGGCTTGCCCTTCAATTTGAACTCTCGCTCGGATGGGTTTTAGTTCTAATTAGTCTTGAATATACGAGAATATACACAGTTCGCAAGAACTCTCAAAGCTTTATGTCTGTTTTAATTGCACCTGCCAGGCCCGAAAAATATACATAAAAAATGCAAGCAGCCCGGCATATACTTTTAATTAGAAGGCAAACCGAGGCCTACGTATCCACAGCCCGTTTTTTGCAATTA